GGATGAAAAAAGGAATGTAAAAATGTAAAATCCTTGCCTTTTTTTTTTTTTTTTTAGAATAAAGGCATATGAAAAATCTGTTCTTCAGCAGCCTCAGTGCTCCTCTACTTCCCATTTCCAGCTAATAGGAGTTAAGAAAAGCTAGAGCACATCTTTCTTCCTTTACCTTTCTGTCACTAACCCTAGAGACAAGGAAGGCCATCATACCAAAAATTTCCCATTGCCAGCATAATATGACACAGCTAATGTTTGCCACGGTACCAGCCCTTCTACATCACCACAAAAGTGTGAGAGGACTGAAAAACAGAAAGTAATTAACTCAGAGGACAACATACCAATTCTTTCTTCAGGGATCCAGTTGGATTAAAGGTCTCGGCTGTTATGGACCTTGTGGAGATCCTTCTTCATAAGACACTTCAGGCAGCTCCTGTGTGTGCTAGGGTTAGTGACAGGTTTAAAGTGAGCAAATGAAAATGACCCTCAAGTTCTGAATGAGAACCAAAGGACACTCTCAATTGATCAGGAGTGGCACTAGTCACAGACATTAATCCTAGGTTTGGGATCAGGCCTGTAAGAGCACAGTTGAGATCTAGACAAGTTGTAGATTAATTTTTAGGTGTACATGGAGCGGTGGTGTGGAATGTAACTTTACTCAGACGAGGTTTCCCCAGTAGCAACATCTTAATCTCTCAAGCAAATCCCTCTCTCAGTTCTGGCCCTTCTTTGCACACAGTTGCTCCCTCCTCCTTCCTGCCTGTCAACCCCTAACCTTCTGACAGGGCTGCAGAGCCCTGAAGTCACCTGAGCCTTTGTGGAATGGCAAGTGGCTGCTCAGGGAAGTTGTAGATACTCAAGCTGTGTCCTTGTCTCTTTCAGTCTTTAAAGCTGGGAGGAAGATAGTCTCTGTTCTTCTGGAGGAGATTGTCAGTGACCTAACGCAACCAAAAAAACAGCACTATGTCTCTTAATTGCTGTGTTTCTCATCTAGGGCTGAGAACACCTCATCTTCTTTAGCACAATGTGAAGGAATCTGTCATGTCCCTTGTAGTCTGACACTGACTCATGGGTAACTATACACGGGTACCATGCTATGAATTGTGGGGTTTCTCTCAGCCCTGTTTCAGTCAAACCTACAACCCCCAAGAGAAAACAGTGTGAATTGCGACCATCCCTGGCCCACACCTCATTTCTGATGATATCTGAAGTGAGAAGGGTAGACCAGGAACTTGCTTCTTAGCAGCTGTTGGAAAATGCCAGTGTTTGCTTAACGGAAGAGGACTGGGGTGACTTTCCCAGTGCAAGAACCATTTTTGTACTAGTGCCACATTTCCAAGCATAGATTGAGGTAATATCATTGATACTCTGTACATAAGAAGCACTTCAAATAGCTGGAGATTCAGTGTCAGACCCTGACTTATAATCAAAACCAGCAGCATTGGTAAAGCCACTATGACAGTTTGCAACCATTTGCAGAAAATTTGCAAAAAAATTACAAAAGAGATGAGCCATGCAGCATCAGGTACCTGGGAAGTCTCTACTGTGCTTCTCCACAGTTAGCAAAGTATGCTAATGCAAAATCCAACAGTTCTCCTGAGTTTTGCACTGAAACACCCAAGGGATGTGGGTGTGAAAAAGGATAGACAGGAAGTGGAGATGGATGAGACAGGACAAAAACCAAGTGGAAGCCACACAAACAAGGTAGTTGAGAAACAAATGACTCACCTGGGAAAGATATTGAGTACTTTCTTTAGCCTCTCAGCCAAATCTCTGCAGGAGAATGTTTAAAATTGGTGCAGTTAACTAAGTATTCACAGATAGGACAATTAGGGAGATACGGTACCAAGCTGAGAGTCAGAAAATTTTGTTGTAAATAACCTCTTACGTAGCAGTAGGCAAGTCACTTCACTGCATAGTAGTTTTACCCATCTGTAAAACAGAGGTGATAATAGTGACTTTTCTTCATGGAACAGAACCTAAAGAACAAAAAATGCTGTACAAGCCTAATTCAGATTCAGCTAGCAGGGATGAAAAGACTCGTGTGAATTTGGCAGGCCAGAATCAAGCCCTAGAATTTTTAAGCACTTAGAAGTAGTTGTCATTAGTATAAATAGACTTGTAGCCACCAGACAGCAATGGTTGCAGTAGTTTTGCTTCAACTAGAGTTCGCTCAAAGACAAGGTAAATCATGGGAAAAGCAAACATGCAAATGGAAACTTGAGAAATCAAACTAAAATAACATAATTTCATTCAATCTGTATACCTTATTCCTAAAGTTGTTCAGCATGCAGATCTGCTAATGAAAAAAATGAGAACTCCTCCTTGTATTGATGTCATCAGAGATGTGTTCTTTATTCCCATAACAGATTAATCACATATTAAATACCAAGTGATTGTTGCGTCCTATCTCCAGAGAATTAGGTGCTGTAGCCAGTGGTTTGGAACACAGCTACTCTAATCAACACTTATATACACCAGCAATAGATGCAGTCTTCTGTGTTGGTAATTTTTCTGCTTCCTAAATATTTAGCCAAATTGTCATTGTGGATTAGCATTGCTCTCCAGAATGTGAACCCTAAGGCATGGCCCATGCATGTAATGTTCAAGGGACATTAGTAGGATAGTTCAGTAATTTTTCCACATCTCCAGCTACTCTGTTCTCTTCCTCTTGAATTGAAATAAAATAACAAGGCTGTGGATTTTTAACAAGCATAGAGAAAAATTCATCAGTGTGAAGGGACCCTGAGGGGGCTGCAAGAGCAAGTTCCAGCTCAAGTTGCTAGAGATTTATAATGTAATTTAAGAAATTAATTCAAAGAAGGTGAATATTCTTGCCACTCAAGCACAACAGAGCCTGCAAGCTGCTTCCAAAAGGATCAATGGCTGTTACCAGTGAGCAGCCTGACCCACAACCACTCTGCTCAGAGAGCTTTTGAGCTCCTGAAAACGGACCAATTCCCCCTCCATCACTAACAATTTAGTTTGCAAACCTGGGCTCAGGAGTAGCAGTGGGTGTCTCAGAGATTTCAGTGCAGAGCTCTGCTGACACATCTGCCTCCCTCATTTCAGGATTAGAGCCATGAGCTTGTAGCCAGTAGAGGCTTATGAAGCAGCCCAGTTCTTTCCTCATCCCCAAGAGGATTGCAGCTCTCCCCAAACACGGTTAAGTGATTTTTAAATCAACGGCTCAGTACCTGCAATGTCATGGTTACTATGGCAGCCGTGCCAAGTTTTTGTGCAGAGTGGTATTAAATAGCAGTGAGTATTATGAACAGAAAGGAATTGCAACTCAGTGGAACCTTACGACTTTAGAATCATATTGAAATTAGTGTCCACAAGTATTAAAATGCACCTATAGCTTTTGCCCTTTTTTTTTAATGTATTGAGACACCTAATTATTTCATTGTTCACAAAACATTACTACCTCCCTCTCTGGGGAAATAACTGGCTGATTCTGCACTGAGGAAATAAAGAGGCAGAGATCTGCAGAAAAGGCTGTTTATGTTGTGACAAGCCAGTGACATTTAAATAGAAGAAAGATAAGGCCATAGAATGCAATTACTAGTGCGTGATAGATGTGTCATATACGTGTGTGTGTGTGAGAGAGAGAGTGTGCACGTGTGTGTGCAAAGCAACAAATATAACTTGAAAACACTTTTGCCTTCTACTCATCTCTGTTGTCCATCAGAGGATCAGAATCATCTCTCCAGACACTACCTAATGTATTTTTTCCCTTGGTCTTGTTTTATTACTTGGCTTCAAAATAACTGAAAAAATAAATGACAGTGTTATGTAGCGCTCAGAACAAGCTAGTATGTGAATCTAGAAGAGGCACTGAAATTAAGTCTGTCTGCTGAGTTTGTCTTTCCTTAAAGACTTGCAGAATCACCCATTGCCTTACAGTGTCTAGGTAATAAGCATTGTGCAACCGAGGTGTAGGATGCTGCCAGCACCACTCAGTTAACGTATCTCAGCATTTGTGGAGCTTCAGAAAGCACATTCTGACTGTTTCTCCTCCCTTCAACCAAAATACTCATATCAAGCTGTGCCATATTTCGAGTATATTCTCAATACACTAATTTGCACTTTAAAACCCTAAAACAAACACTCCCCTAAACAGCACTTTAAATTGTGTTATAAATGTAAAATCAGTCACACAGAGAAAACATATGATTCTCAGTCTATCCTCATGGGAATGCGTGGAGCAAAATGGGAAAATCTGACAACCTATTTTCATTACTTAAGAGCCAAGAGTAAATTTTACTCTACCTAGTTTCCAAATTCGTGGCCTGCTGTAGTGTTTTCTGTATGTAGTGTCCTGTGCTGGCATTGCAAATACTGTATGTGTTTCAGAGGAGAACATCAGAAAATGGATTGTTTTTTCTTAAATCCACATTCTGCTGTTGTATTTCCATATGTAACATACTCTGTGTGTCTAAAATGTGTACAGCCATTCTGCATGACTGATACTGGAAATGCTATAGAACCATCTCGGTAAATTTTGGGGAGGGGAAGAGCAGGAATTTCCCCCTCAGTAATATTGCACACGGGTATAAATCAACACAAACAGAATATACTCAAATTCTAAAACACAACTCACAGTCCACTGCCTCTCCAGAGCTCTGAGTGACAGTAGGCTCCATGACAAACTGGTCATTCATGCACCATCCGACGTCACGCGAAAACATAATCTGATTTCTAACCGCAGTCTTCTGCTCGCAGGACTAGGAACCAATGCACGCCCGTTTCTGAAAGTGCCCCTCTGTGCGGACATACAGGTGGCTGCTGTTACACCTAATGTGATCACTTTTTGTTTCTCCTCCCCCTTTAACAGACTTTATTTTATTTTGGTGCAGTGCACATGAACGCAGTGTCTAGGACAGATGTGCTACCTTTTATAGTTTCGCTTATAGAAGTCTTTAGCTGTGAACCCTTAATTTGCAGCTGGAACTCTAATAAACAGTTCATAGTGTTTCAATAGTCTTCTGCTTATATGTTTGAAGATTCGAAACTGAATGGTGAGGTGGCCAAGGCGGCGCTGGCAAACGAAGACTGTCCCCACATAGACCAGGCTATTACGCCTGATGAGGGCCTGCCCTTTACGCGCTCTGGTACTCGGGAGAGATATGGACCCTGCTTCCTCTTATCAACCGGGGAATATCCCTGCCCGCCTGATGGAGGAATAAGAAAGGGTATGTAGCTGGGGTCCTGTGACCATGTAGTTAGCAACCGTTTTGAATAAATAAGAGAAAGTCAGCCGTAGCTGTAGCACGCGATAGTGCGCTTGCTGTAGAGATGCACGTTTGGGCTGGAAACCACCACCTGATGTCTGCATTTGGAGTTTCTAACCTATTTCTTTCAGAAAGAAAAGCCTGAGGAGCTGTAACTACCCTGTGCAGCTATGCTAGGCAGTTGAGTCTTCCACCCCAGCTGGTGCAGTAAGCTTTAGTGGAGGATGCTCTACTATGCCCTTAAATTAGCCCGTCCTCTAAGGAGAGACCAATTAACATTTCATAGCAATGAAGGTTTGCCACTTGGAAAGCTCACAGATCTTGCCAAGCTCTGAGGAGCACAGACTTGGAGGTGGCAGACAGAAGAGATAAAACAGAAAAGCAAAACATCCTCAAGAAATGTGAAATGATTATTCGGCTACCTTAACAGAGCATTAAAAAGAATGATTTAGGTATTCATAACTGCTTAGTTCAACAGAGAAAGAAAAGCATGAACATCTGCTGGCACAGGTATCTTACAATTGGAAAATAATCCATCAAAAATCCTTTCATAAATAAATCATTATTAGTTACTTTCTCAGACTTCTGACAGCTACGAATATCTCAGAAGTAACTTCATTTCACTTTGCTAATGGTCAGAGTAATCTATTTAGCAACAGAAATCAAATCATAAGAAAAAACCCTTCCCTTCTTTAAACAGGCTGTTGTGTTTAAATAATGTCATGTGAGGAAACCATGCAAACCAAAATTAGAGTTACATCTATATGCATCAAAGTTGATAACGAATAGGAAATTTGGAAAAGAAATCTCTCTCTTCAAATCAGTGTTTACCACTGGTGTACTGTACATAGTATATGATATAGTCAATATTTTAAAACTGCAAAGATTGTACGATGTAACCATACCCTGAGTATGGAGTATAGAATTCCCATGTGCCATTTTATGATGGGCAATAGTTATAGTAAATGCCAGTTATAGATAGTGTATGTATTTATAAGTTTAAAGCTTATCATCAACAGATATAGTAGGACCACAAGACTTTCATATGAAAGTATATCCTCTAAAATTTACCTTTGTAGCAAAGCGTTTTACTTGATTCTGTATTGGATAAGCATTGGCCGTGTTCATTCAGCCTGGGCGAGTTCAGGTGGTTCCAGTGGATCAGGGGAACACTCCAAATGGCACATCCTTTGGGATGGGGAATGTATGGTTTTCACGATGCACTGCAACCGCCTCTCGTTACTGAATGAAACAGAGGCTGGTTGGCTAAAGAGTAATATACGTCAGCATATTGTTGGCCTGTTTGAAACACGTTGAGAGCATCTTAATTGTTGTTCCAACAGAATTTCATCCATAGTTTGTGCAACTCTCTGTACACTTGCTGAGCTGTTTACGTGCATGTCTGAAAAAGAAGCGGGGCGGGGGGAGGGAGGGAGGGAAACAATGCATGCAATCTTTTGTTTACTTTTCTTTTTTAAATGCTGAGAACAAAGGAGTAGTATCTCTATAGCAACAAAATAAATTCTATGCTGCCTTTTCCCCCACCCTGCCCCCAAAGATACCAGAAACCTTAATTTTGCCTGAGGTAAAAATGCATGAAGTGGAAGGGAGAAGTATGTGTGAGTGTATGATGGAGACATAGAAAATCCCTCCCACTGACTCTTTTGTTTTTTTAGGGTACAACCATGTTGCTGCCTGTAGGATCAATTACGTAGCCTGACCATCCTTGAGAAATGATGATTTTTTTTAAAAAATATATATATTTTAAACTTGTTCTGTATTTCAACGGCCTTCTGAGTCACGTTGCAAGCGATACTACTCTCGGCATGTCGGTGCATGCAGATGCTATTGAACTGGCTACGATGTTGACCTCATTCTTAGTCCATTCTGTCATTGATCCAATGCTGTACTTTGCATTTTTCTTTTAAATGAAGGTTACGAAATGTCACGGAGCCTTAACAGCATAGCTGGCATAAGTGGAAAAGCGATAGGATTATCCTCAGTGTCTGCGCCCTACAGCTCTCCTAGTCCAGTGAGACGTTCTTGGTCTCCCATCCCATCTATTTTGTAGCATGGATCAGTAGCAGAGAATGGTCTAAAAAGCTTTATTTTCAATTAGCCTATGCCATGTTGCATATAGTCCAGGTGACTAAGTCTGAAGATGCAATGTCTCACAGTAGCACCTGCTGGAAACGGTGTTACTACTGATGCTAGGTGACAACACTCCTAAATAGCATTCAGATGACATAGGCAGGCATTGGCGTAGTACTGGTGGGCCATACGTGCTGCATGGTATCAGTACATAGGATGAAGGGTAGATGCGCCAGATAGTTTCCTTCCTGGTGCATCCTGCTAGTATGTGCTTATTTTGGCTAATGGTGGATCTACTGGCTCTGTATGGAATGGGTTAGGCATTTAGTCGATGCTGAAACATGCCAACGATGGAAGATTTTGCTTTTCTCAGGATATTTTTGAGCCATAGGAACCCTGCAGGAGTTTGAGCAAACAAGCACAGTAGGATGAAACTTTGCATGGGCACCTATTTTAAGCTGAAAGCAATACTCAGACACACTGTAGAGAGGTCTCAGTCTGGCTGACTGCATGGAAAAAAAAAAATCCTGTTGAAGAAGAATATGGCTGCCTCTGCATGTAGCTATCTCACCTTTTCCTCCTTCCTTTAAAACTAAGATGCCGAGCTTGATGTGAAAAGCACAGGGAAGAAGCTCAAGTACTGATTGTATTCTTTACATGCAGATCTTTGCAAAGAAAGTCCAGTCATTGCTAAATATATGCCAACAGAGGCAGTCAGAGTGACCTGACAAGGCAAGATGGAGATGAACATTGATGGCTAATAAACATCTGTGTGGAACTGTGCAGGCATAGAAGACCTTCTCATTTGGACAAAGTTAACTCGCTCCATGCAGGTTTTATGGATGATTCTTCATGGTTCTGGAGTTGTACTAGAGATGCAGGCTTTTTCTACGGCCAAAATGTAACAAAACTGTAGAAGATCTTTTTCTTTTTTTTTTTTTTAATCTATTTTTTTTGTTCCATAGCATGAATTGCATGAAGATAAAAATGAAAATGAAAAAAAAAAACAACAAAACAAAACAACAAAACAAACAAAAAAACAACACACACACAAGAAACACTGCAAATGTATGATTAAGGAGAAAAAAAAAGCAAAGTTATATATTTTCTTTCAAAGCTCTTTACTTTTACATACATTGTTGTAGCCAAAATGTAAAACATTATAAAACTGTACATTTCTTTGCTATGGATCGCTTCTTTTTGTATACGAGATACAGAGTAATGGTTTTAAAAAGTGCAATCAGGCAGTCATCGGTCATATTGACCACGCCTTCACAGTTCATCACACCGACATGGAAATCAAGAACTTTTAATCCAACTAGAAGTGTATAAAAATAAGAAAAACTTTTTCCTGTCTGTTTTTGTTGGCATGCTTGTGACACATGGGACCTTCCTTCGGACCTGACAGTAACAGCTGGGTAATTTTCCAGCTCTGGTTATGTTGTATTTTATTGATGTATAGATCCGTAAAGACCCTTCATAAATTGTTCATATTAAGTAATCAGTATGAATTTTAAACAAAAGAGGTGTTATTTTAAAACTGGGACTTATAGTACAAAATCAGGAAAATACTCAAGTATAAATGGTCTCAAAGTTTAAGAAACAAAACAACAGCATTGTATGCAATTTAGTACTGAGTAAAATGCATGCACAATGTTATGCAAAACAATTCTAGCATGAAAATAAATTTTGTATCATGGTTTCAGTGCCTGCTGTATAGTGTAAAGGGGAATCCTTTTCTGAAGCAATCAGGGGTTTCCAGAGACTTGCTTCTAAAATCTTGAATAAATACAGTGTTCTCAACAGAAATGTAGGAGAAAAGCTTGGTATTGCTTTGGTTCTACAATGCTAATTTTGGTTAGTAGATAATAAATGAAGCCTGCAAACACTTGATACAACCGATGTCTAAAGAATTCGCACCATTAGTAATTTTACAAGGGAAGAGTAAAAAAACCCTATAATTACTTAGGTATCTTCCTTTTCCCTCCCCCAAAATAATAAATGTTTGTCTTTTTAGCTGATTAAATGAATTCAGTTTTTCTTCCTTCTTTGGGCCCCGTCCTTCACTTGTTCTTCACTGAGCCACAACAGTCCACCTGACACCAAACTGAAAGAAATCCAGGTGTCTGAGTCGCACTTGATTTGCCACACAAAACATGCACCAGTAAGAACAATGGGATTAAATTTCATTTTAGATTCTACAAAGACAACTATGGACTATGTGTCAGCAGCATTCTAGTTGCTTGAGCATTTTTGGTAAAGTACTTCTATACAGGAAGGATACACACCTTTATCCTCATGTGAGGAACTTCAGAAGAGCTGACAACCTTCTAGGCAAGCCACAGCATCTGCAGCTCCTGATGAGAATGGGAACATAAAGGAATAGTATTCCTACGGTCTGGAGGAAGTAGAGATTAAATGCACAAAAACCCAGAAGAAACACTCATGGCTCTGGTAAGTGCTAAATTATAAACAACAAAACCAACTGCAGCTGGATCTTGTCTTCACAAAATTCTACTCCAAAAGGAAAAATAAGGAAGACCTCAAGCTTTTAGGAATAGAAGAAAGGCTGATAATCTGAATTTGTACATAATTAGAACAGCCCTTTGTAGTCCTTGATACAGCATTATGTACTTGATTTCTACTTTAGTTTCTCCCAAGAACTATTTTTCTCACACAGTCTCTATGCTGTCCTTCTCAGAAGATAAATTTCTTACCTCCAGAGGTAGATCCAGGTTCATCCAGGATTTGCGTAACAAACATCTTTTCCTCTTAAAATGCATTAAGAATCCAGAAATAGATTTATCTGCCCCATTTTTTATTTAACTCTAGCTCAAGGTCCCAGCACAAAGGTAGCTCAAATTCTTCATTACCATAAGGAATACTAACAATTCAGCCCTGTAAATCCCATGTAGGTCTTTCTCTTCCACTGCACTTCACATATACCTGAGCCTTAGCTAACAGGTTGGGTACAACTGTCATTCTGTGCTGCTTTTTACATCTACCAGTCCTGTTTTCATTTAGGTACATTTAGGTCCTCTCTGCTCATTCTGATTTGAGGTAACTGTGTCTTTTGGAGGACTTACATAAACCATTCACAAATAGAACAGCACTTACCATCCACTGTCCTTCAGGAGATGCCCTAAAGCTTAAGGTCTGTCTAACCCCAGAGTTCCCCTTGCACAACACAGGGAAAGAGAGAGACAAGAAAACTGGAAAATCTCAGAAGCTGTTGCACTGAGTCCTGACATTGAATCCAAAGAGAAATTTACCACATCATCCCAGCTGCCTCGCAGTTAAGGAGCTTTTGCTGGGGTATTATTAAAACATTAATTCCTTCAAGCCTGCCCCCTCCCCCTCCAGGACGTACATATCTCTATTAAAGCATTAAAACTATGCACGTGGATAGATTCTGACTACAGGCTTTCAATAACGCCACCAACTACTTCTGACTTCACACCACTGTAAGTAAGAACAGAAGCATGTTCTGGAGTTCAGTTACACTCTGTTTCCTGCTGAAAATGAAATCTGTGTTTCCTCCGCTGTAAACTCAGCTTTTGGCAATGAACTCCCAGCTATAAGACCCAGGGCTGGTCCTTCATCTGAACCCACTGGCAATTAGTGACTTATTACTTGCTAACATTAAAAGCACGGCTCAACCACACCTTCTATACCTACAGCTTTCCCTCTGACTATGTGAGGACTCATTTTTTTCTGGACCAACCTGGTGTGTCTCCACAATTACAGTTTCAGACAGAATAAATTTCTGAGGGTTCTGTTCTCTCCAAAAAAAAAAAAAAAAAAGAAAGAAAGAATCTAGCTAATACCGCTGCGATAACAGTCAGCGCAGCAGTCATTAATCTGGATAAAGTGATTTTTCACCTCAATTGCCTTCTCTCTTCCTAAAGTTTCAGCACCAAAAAGAAAATACTTCACTGAAACAAATGGCTGCTAGGACAAATGAGCAGACTGAAATGCAGAAGAGAGCAAGCAGGGCTGAGGCAAGGGCATTCAGAAAGGAAATGAGCACAGAGCTGCTCACAAAAAAAGATGTCCTGAAGAAAAAGACAAGTGCAGTTATTACTCTGCCAGTTTGCATATCCCTTTCCTAGTTTCAAAACAAGGCAGCCTACCTCTGTGCTTTCCATATATATGATGGAAGAAACTTTGAGCTCACAAACATTTCTCTTCATGAAAACATGCTTAAATTATACAGGTTATTTTTAGGTCGCTCACTTACTTGAGTTTGGGCATAAAATATGTTCAGAAGTCCCAAAGCCTCGGCATTCATCTAGGACCATAGGGTGCCCCATTATTCTCTTAGGGAAATACAAATATTTATTTGCAATCAAGGACAGTATTTGAATTCAAATGGAACGTCAAGTTAGAAAATGCATCCAGAACTGCATCTCTTGACTTTCTTTATCTGACAAAGCAAATGCTTTAAAACTAAGCGGATTCACCTGACCCCCACGAGAAGACATTTCCTGGCTCAAGCTGGCAAAGTCAGGTTTTCAACCCTCAGCATTCATTTGAACATTGAAAAAACTTTATGCAAGTACAGAGGTCCAAACATCTCCAGGTACCAAATATTAAGAGCATGTGCTCCAAGGCTTCCACTGTTTTTTCTGCTGCCCATGAAGCACAGGTTAGAGATTCCGTAGGCAGCAAAGTATTGGAGTTGTATTAGCTCAGCTGTCACTCTGAGGTACCTGCACAGCTTCTAGATCCCAAAGGGCTTAGCAGGGACAACACAGTCTGTGCAGAGGCTGCTGACTGTGACTCACAGCAGCACAACAGGAGACACGGCTTAAGCCCAAGCAAAGCAGCTCCGCAGGAGCCACGCTTTGCCACGGTGGTGTCAGTGCAAGTGGGTGGCTGGAGAAGAGGCGGCAGTAGCAGAAGTGGGAAATGAGAAGGACACAGGACGGGTTTGGAAAATGGGTTATGCAAGTAGGAGTGATGGAAAGAGAAATCAGTAGCGAGGGGGAAAGAAGAGCAAAGAAGCAAAGAGTGGCAAAAAAATCATCAAAAACCACTAGCCAAGAAGGTAGAACTTTGGCCTGGGATTCAGGAAATGGGAATTTCATTCTCGACTCCACTGTGGATGTGCTGGGTTACCTCAGTTGGGGCAATTCAATTTTTTGTGCCTCAGCTTCTGTTTCTATGATATTATCCTTTTTTTTAAAGTGTTCTCATGTCAAAAGAGGAAAGGCAGTATTTATAAAAGGAATAGTTATTATAATCTATCTACTCAGAATTAAGGCTCCAGAGGAGAGAAGTGTCTCTCCATTATTTGAAAGATGCCATGTTTCCTTGTCTGCAGAAGAGCACAAAGCTCCTATAGGAATCCCTTTTCTTCTGTGCTTTAAAGCAGAGGATTATTATGGAAAATGATTAAGCACCCACACAGTTAAAATCACAGAGCATTTTCATTACTGATTGGCAACTCCTCTGCTGCCCCAATTTAGGTACCACGTCTTCATGCATTCAAATCAGTAAAATACAAAACAAAAGCTAAACTCACTTGACATTTGCAGCCAAAAACTAAAGTCACGTCAGAACATTAAGATCTCCCAATTCTTGGCCTGTTTTCTAAATACCAAAAAAAAAAAACAAAAAAACAAAAAAACAAAAAAAACACCCCACAGTCTTATAGCAAGGTGCTTCACATACACTTAAAAGATTATGACCAGGGAGTACTTGAATAATACTGAACTGAAATTCAGCAATTTCAAATTACAAAGTCTTCATCCCAAAACCTGCAGACAGAACTCCCTCCCAAAACTGCATAGCATCTGAATATCAAGGGGGCCCACAGGCAAAGCAACCTGGAAACATGTGACAAACATGGAAATGAATGGAGGGAGAGGCCAACATGGGAACTGGACTTAGACACGACCCTCTCCCAACCTGCCAAGGCTCATCTGAAAATGAGACAAAATCAAACATGCCACAAAATAAAAATGCCTGAGGAAACTTTGCAAAATAAATGTCACCCTTGCATTTTCTCATCCCCCAGCCAGCTTTTATTCAGGAATAATTACTTTGTTGCTCTTGTTTCCAACCAAGCTGAAAAATACATTTTCCCACTACTTTAAATTTATGCTCCCTCAGTCTCCCACAAGGAAACGTGGTTCATCCAGGCCATGATTCAAACACAGAGACTATTTTCATTGCTGCATATTTTCAGTCACATACTCTATTTCGATGTTCTACAGAGGCACTGATGAGTAAAAACTGTCTCTGCATTAAAAACAGGTGAATGCTGAGACAACTGATGTATGAACCTGAATGAAATGCACAAATAGCTCAAGAATGTGCCTGACTTCAATCCTTCAACATGGAAATGGGTTACAAAATAACAATGGCATTACACATGCAGTTTCTCCAAATTAACTTCAAACGCACATAAAGACTTCCATTTTCAGTTATGTTCATCCAACAGAAGGCAATTTTCCATAAAACCAAAACATTTTAATTCAAGGCTATTAAATAATTCTAATATAGAGTAAAACATGTAAGATCAGCATTTATCAGGAAATAAGAACAGAACAAAAGCTAGAAGAAAAGAGCAAAGCTTGTACTACCTTTTTTTGCATATGCACCAAGATATCAATGTCAAAAGTTAAAACGTACAATTATTTTTGTGTCAGCTAGACTTTTTAGCAAATTTGGTGTAAACACCACTGTGCACATTTTGAAGTGCAATCAAAACCACACAAGATGGTTCTCTACCCCAGACTCCATCCATTCCAAGTCTTTGGGAAGCAAGACTTACGTCTTCCACTTCAGTATTTTCTTTTTCCCTTTACAGGATTTTCACCTGCTCTGAACTATAAGCTGGTAGTAAATAGCAGATGCGTGACTCAACTACTGATGAAAAATTCTGGAGTACTTTTCAAGAAAATATCTAGTTAAAAGAAAAAGCACAAGATTTGTTAAGAGAACACAGGACTTTTTGGTGAAAACATGACATAGCAATTTCAGTGACAAAGATCTGCCATCATCTTGATTTTTA